TATAGATACTCTCAGTGCCTTCTCTGTATATATTCTAGTTATACTATCTTTCGGAAGGTACACAAAATTGGAATTTGTTCGTTTGAATCTGGAAGAGGAACGAGTGAGGCTGTCACAGCATGACCTAACTAGGGTTAGTATTTTCTCATCATTTTCTTTTGAACTTTTACATTCAAAGTCTAACCCAGGTTAGATCATGCTGGCAGCTTCACTTATTCCCTATCTAGAGCAAGTTTCTTAACTCCACCATGGCCATATGAACCTTGAACCTGAAGAGGGAGGAAAAATGGAACAAATCAAGATGACTTTAGTCTGCACAAATTGATTTAGAGAACTAAGAGTGGGTTGGACATTGCATGTTATTTATAATAGGAGATCGAAGAAAAAGTAAAAGTGAAATGAAAATATAAGCGAAAAGGGACAAAAACTCAACTGTGAAAACAGTACATTAAAGCCGAGAAATGTGGGCAGGCCAAGAAATAGATGGAACAGAACGAGAGGCTAGGAGCAGAAGTACTATGAATATGTATATAGGCTTATCGATATTCATCAATACATTACAGGTGTTACAAATATAGGGCGGCGGGTCAGGAATTTGGTTTAAACCATTTATGTTTCCATTAAACTAGAGTGACATCTGGTCTAGTTCAAATTTCTTCAGTCAACGAGTCATTGTCAAAGCATGTTTAACTGAGCTTTTAGCCCAAGTTTGGCATAAATTAAAATAAGATTTTTAACAAATTTTGGTAAAAATTGATGGAATGATTGAAAACTTTGATAAAAATCTAAATTTTAATATTTATCAAACAGTGGCTTAATAATTAGAGCTTGTTTGGGAGGGATTAAAATTAGATTAAAATTGAAAATATAGTCTGTTAGAGTTGACTTTTATTAGACGAGTGGGATCTAATAACGACTATATTTTCAATTTTAATTAGATTTTAATCCTTCTCAAACAAACTCTAACATGTTTTCTTGCCGTACCTTACGAACTACGATGTAGAGCATCGTTGAACATGGGACTGGACTATTGCTAAAGGGATTTGCTCTCAAACGAATAGTGCTTGAGATGGATTCGTGGGCTAAATCCTAGGTCATAGAAGGTTTGATTACTCCTCTTCTATAGTTCTATTATCTATAGCTTTTGGGGAAAAAAATGATTGCATCTCTGCCTACATACGTAACACGAGTCTTCTTTCCTTCTCGAAGTATTGTTGTGGAGGTAGTTGACTTTGAACTCGATAAGGCCCTATTTGATAGGGGCATTATTTTCCATGGAAAATGGAAAACAAATTTCAACTTCCACTTTTGCCTTGTTTGATGCACTTTATTTTTCATGGAAAAAATTTTCCACCTTTAGCTCACATGCTCACCAATTCCTTGATTTTGTGGAAAATCAATTCCCACAATTTCCATCTTTTTTTTAAGCAATTGGAAAAAAATTTAGATACAATGTTAAAAAAAAATTATCACTTTTATTGACAATTTTCATACAAAATAAAGTTAAACGAATGGTATTCGGTATGGTAATTTTTTTTTTAAAACAAAATTTAATTTTTTTTTTGGCAAGTGAAACAAATTCTAGACCCAATGGTAAAGGAAATTATCACTTTAATTGACAATTTTCATTAAAAAAAAATCAAACGGACACCAAACTTTCAACATTTTTCAGGTGAAAAATTATACCAATCAAACATAATTAATTACAATTCACAGTAAAACAATTTTTAGGCAATTCAATTCCCTAAAATTCATTTTCTTTCCACCAATTTTCCACATTTGCAATCAAACGGACCCTACGTAGAATTGAGTTTCAAATCATAAAATAATGAAGCAACCGCATGTCTTTTGCATCTTCACACAGAATCAATTCTTGTCTTCATTGGTTCAAGAAGCGGTAGATCATTTAGTTATGAACCGAAAGAAGCCATTAGCCATGTTATAATTGCTAAAGATCTAATTATTCTACTCCCTCGATGGATCCAGCGCTAAACCTAACGGAGTGTTCATGAATAAAGTTTAGTTCGTTATTAAGATTCCGAGTCCATTTCCCTTGTCTATGTGAGAATGGCAAGGAATCCTATACATGTAAAAGGGCAGGCAAAAATAAAAAAAAAAAAACTAAGAAATTTATCAGCTTGTCATAAAAATTCCAGCAAGGGCCAGAGACAGTATCAGAAGATGATTGACATCTCATAGCATCTTTATAATTTGTAGGTGCAGAATAAATGATGCTTCCTAAAGTAATAGACTCTATAGACCTATATATAATTAGAGAGATTCTTTCTGCTTTCGCTAAAGTGCTCTATATATTCATTTACAGCTGTGAGGCCTGGGTTTGTATGTGAACGAAAATATTAAAAAAAAAAAAAAAAACCTATTCTTTCTCTCTTTGTATGCTAACAGTACCGGCATGTCTATTCAGGCACAGAAGATAAAACATCAAAGAATCGGTCAACTGCAAAATCTATAGTAGTAATTGCACGCCTCTTGAATGAGATCATGCTGCAGCACCATTCACATGTATCTGTACTGCCAGCCAGGCTTTGCGTTGGACCAATTCGAATCTGACTGAGCGGCTTGTTCGGTCTAGTTTTGTTTAAAGTCTGGCAGTGCAAATGTGAGATGAGGGGGAGGGGGTGGGGGTGGAAACATTTGGAGGGATTTTTTTAATGAAGTGGGGACCCACCTCATGTGAGAGCTTTTGCTATGATCTTTTACAGGTCTTGTAGAGCAGATTAATTCTTAAATTTTAGATAGTTCTAGGTACTAGAACTAAGAAATAGTTGGGTCGATCTAGTTCTGGATTCTAATACTCTGGAACTGAAAACTTGAAGTCCATGTTTAAAGCAAATTATCTCGTTATCATTATGGAACCGAATTGTTCAATGCGACGTTTGGATCTAATTGTTCGATTTATAAGATTTTCATTGGTTCTCGATTTGGTTCAATTCTCTTCGATACCAAACTGTGTCCATCCCTATTGGAGGACACACAAGACGAGAGCGAGAGGGAGATGGCAAATCTCTATTTCTCTGCATTCTGCAATACCCTCGTCAACAACCATTGCAAGTGTTCCAAACAACCCTTGTATTGGATTTCAAAAATAATTGTTTCCGGAATAGAAAAAGATACTCTCTTAAACAACGTACAATGGACGAGATGGAGAGCGATAAACAATTGTTCCTTTATACCCCACATTATATAGGAAAAAATAGACGTTAATATTTCATGAACACTCAACAATCACGGCTAATCCTCCTCATCCAACATGTCAAAGTTGTACAACGCTCGTTATATCCAACAGTAGGGACCCTGGGAAGGAAGAACATCGAAAACCAAGAAGCATAAATTGAAATTTGTCGGCAACTTTTATTTTTTAATAAATAAATTATTCATTGGATTTTTGCTACAATGAGGAGATATAAAAGCTATCCTATCACAGAACATACAAATTACTATTAGAAGAATATTAGGCAATATCATATAGCAAAATCACGTGACAACCTTGTAAGCTACGTCACGTGATTATAAAGGAACCGAACATGTTTAGTAAAGACAAAGCAGTTAAAACATTTGCAAATGTCACTTGGGAAGGATGAAAAAAAAATACTATTTTTACTATTAAGCTTATGGGACTATGCACAATGTTCTAAAAACCGTAAAATAACGTTTTTTAAATTTTTAAATTAATCTAAAAATTATTTATAATTAAATGAAAAGGCATAAAAAGGAGTTAAAAAGCATAAAAAAAAGTGCCTAGACACGACTAGGCGCGAAAAAAAAAAAGCGCAAGGTGGGACGTTTTGCACCGGCTTTCGTCTAGGACCACTTTTTAGGGCATCTCCAACCCTTGCACCATTTTACCCCATTTTGCACCAAAAATTTGGTGAAATCCCTCTCCAATCAAAAATCATAATTTGCACCAAAATGTTTAATGTCCCTTTTGCCCCTCTTTTCCATATTGAATCAATTTTTTGTTAAGCGTATTTGTGTCATTTTCTGTTATACAAAATTTTTTAATTTTTAATTAATTATTATTATTTAATACTATGATTATTGTTATTATTAATTGTACTACATTTTTAAAATTTATTAATGTATTCAATATTTTCGTTAACGAAACGTAATTATTTATTTAGTAATTTATGTAGTAGTAAATTAAATAAATAAATCTTTAAAAAAGAAAAAAAAATGAAGAAATTAATTAAACATTGTTCATTTTGTGCAACTTTTGGTGTAATAGGATGGTGATGATTTTCAATTTGGCGCAAACTTTTGCAAAATAGTGCAAAACTTACTTCAAATTTTGGTGTAGAGTTGAAGATGGTCTAAGGAAAGAAAGAATCTATTATATGGTCCGTTGTTCCGAAAGAAAGTGCAGCTGGGAGACAAGGATACATGAAGATGCAACTGCATAGTGGTTCTAGGAACTCATGTCATCTATCAAGGCGATTGGCTAATTAACAGGGTCTCTACGATTCCCGGGCGACTAGTATTGAGCACTTGTATGTCAGCTTGTTCTAGTTAATATCTATTCGTTTAATTATGTAGAAATTTATTTTTCTCATATATAATTTCAGCAAGGAAAAAAGTTGATAAATGTTTGATATAATACGTATAAATAAAAAAATTTAACAATTCCAATGTCCATAGCATGAATATTTTTATTTTTTTATCTTTTATCCTTGGTTCTTCTACTTCATCATCTTGTACAAGCTCCTAAAGCTCCAAAAAAAAAAATGAGGGAAGAAAGCCTGATTGTTGTTTACAATACTAGGATATTCATTCAGTTATAACCAACATGTCAAGAAATGATCTCAATTTTGATTACACCATAAAGATATTCAGGGGCAAAGGAGAAGTAAGCTGAATTCTTGAAACACCAATCCCCTTTATGAAGATCAAAATTTCATTTTTGGCTGAATCAAGCTCAAAGAAAAAGGGAGAGATCAGTAGGCTTGCAGTTACTTACATTGATTGTTTCATACACAGAATTGTCAGTCACCCTCTGGTTGGCCCTGATTCTCAAACTTATTTGACACAGAGGTTGTTAGAAGTTGCTCACAGTGAACCATCTGCAACTTCATGGCAACAGGCATATTTTGGCCAAGGGAAAGATGCTACAAAGATATCACGGGTCATTAGCTTCTCAAGGGCATTTTTCCTTTGGCTCATAACTGCAATAATTATGTATGTGATTCAGCTCCCACTTCACAATTCACAAAGAGAACCAAGAATATCAACAGGTGTGATTGCCAAAATGTATCTGGAGAAGATTTTTTTTATAGCAGCATTTTTACACATTCAAACTGTCACCAGATATCTCCACAGGAACAGACCCCATCCTTAAAATGATGAAATCTGTTGGCATCTCTCACTACAATTTCTCGTTCAAAAAACTTGGAAATGAGCTTAGTGAAAGTATGGCAATCACCACATACACGAAGGTTCTTTGTGATTCGGATAGTTGTTCTCTTGGTAGTAGTAAGTAGGCCATAGGCAATAGCAAGCCTTTCACTGTGCCCGTAAAGCATCTCAACCTTTTCTTTCTCTTCTACATTATGCAGCACATACCTAGTTTGAGCCACATAACCTCCTTCATTCTCTAATTTCTCGGTAATCTGCGCTAATTTTGCATAGATTCCATCAGAATCTGGATGAGACCTGTCCCTAGCAATAAATGTATGAACCGTATTTCCTACCTCTATCCAACTACAAGCAGGATCCTTCCTCAGTCCTGTTATTTTCATTCTCATCCTCACTTCTTCCACATCTTCCCATCTATCTTCTGCAGCATACATGTTAGAAACAAGCACATAATTTCCTGGATTCGCTGGTTCAATTTCAAGAAGCTTTCTTGCAGCTATTTCTCCTATCTCAGAGTTAGAATGAATTCGGCAAGCACCAAGGAGAGCGCACCAAACGGCTGCTGTTGGCTCCATTTGCATACTTTTAATGATTTGAAATGCCTCTTCCACATAATTTGCACGACCAAGCAGATCAACCAGACAAACATAATGTTCTGGCCATGGCTCCAATTTATATTCATTTTTCATTATTTCGAAAAATTGTTTGCCTTCATCAACCATTGATGAATGACTACATGCGTAGAGAAGTGCCAAAAAGGCAACATGATCAGGAAGAAGATTCTCAGCCTCCATCTTTCTAAATAAATCGACTGAGCTCCTGCCATGACCATGCATTCCATATGCATTAATCATGCTCGTCCATGAAACTAAATCTTTATCTTTAGTATGACAGAAAACCTTGTATGAGTTGTCAACAGTCCCACAGCTGGCGTACATATCCACGAGTGAGCTGGCAATGGGGCCCTCTAAAACAAAACACTTCCTAAGCAAATAGCCATGAATCTCTTTGCCTTTTCTCAGTGCTGATAAATCAGCAGCAGCAGAGAGCATACTCAGCAGTGCAATAGAGTCCAGTTCAACCCCTGATTTTACCATGTCGGATGAAAGTTCAAGAGCCTCATATGCTAGTCCATTACGGACATAGCAAGATATCATGCTTGTCCATGATACAATATTTTTTACTTCAATCAAATCAAAGATATTGCATGCATAATTTACATGTCCACACTCGCCATACACATCCAAGAGAGTGTTCTGTAGGATAAGATCAGATAATTCTCTTCTCATCATGTAACAATGAATCTCTTTCACATTCAAAATACATTTTAACCCATGACACGCTAGAAGAATGCTTTCAATCATCACTCTGTCAGCATCCATTCCTTCTGACTGCACTTTCCTGAACAGTTCAAAGGCCTTCGGGTGAAAATTATTCTGAACATAGCCAGCAATGATTGTTGTCCAAGAAATGTAGTCTTTACATGGCATTCTATGAAAAACGGAGTCCATATAACTTATCTTAGTACATTTTGCATACATGTCTATCAGGGTATTGCCAACTAGCAGTTCAAGATCTAACTTATTTTTTAAAGCAAAAGCATGAACTTCCATCCCATTCAACAGCTTTCCTGACCTGCCACAGGCAGAAAGAACGCCTATAATTGAAACTTGGTCGGGTTTCTGACCATTTCTGAATATCTCAGTAAACAAATCCAGCGCTTCATTATGAAGGCCATTTTGAACATAACCGGATAACATTGAATTCCAGGAAACATAATCCCCCTCATCCATACGCATAAAAACTTTCTCAGCTTCGTCCAATTTCCCACATCTTGTGTACATGATAAGCAAAGCATTAGCAACATAGATATCGTGATAAAAACCAGACTTCAAAACAACAGCATGGATTTCCATGCCTGAACTCCCAAGAATTGGATCCTCGCATGCCTGAAGGGCAGCCACAAAAGTGTAAGTACTGGGGGTAACGCCAAGATTCCACATTTCGACCAAAAGCCTCAAAGCTTCTTTCCTCATCCCATTTAATGAATATGCAGTTATCATTAAATTCCAAAGCACAACATCTCCTCTACTACTCACTCTATGAAATAACAATTCTGATGCATTAAGATCATGGCACTTGGAATACATACTTACTAAAGAATTAACTAAAATATCATTACAAACGAACCCAAATTTTATCGCCAATGCATGAATTTCTCTCCCAAAAAACAAGTCTTTAACACCACCACATGCCTTCAATACACAACTCAAAGTATGGGCATCCACAGGGATATCCAAGTTTCCCATTTCAGCATAAAGTTCTATTGCTTTCAAAAGTTCCCCATTTGACACGTAAGCACCAAGCATAGCATTGTAAGTAAAAATACTTCTTTCAAACATTCCATCGAACACCATCTCAGCATGTGATAAACATCCACATTTCCCATACATAAGCACGAGCTTTGTATTCAGGAACACTAAATCACAGACATGGTTGCCTTTTACTATATGGGTATGTGTTTGTCTGCCTTGACATAGGAACTTCTCGCTTGCACAAAAATCAAGCGCCAATGACAGAGCTTCGTCTAGACACTGGTTTTGATTATAATTGGAGCTTATACTACTGGTGAGTGATAACAATGCTTCTTTAAATTTGATGGGTTTTCGAGGCGTTTTGGAGATTCTGAGACGATTTTTTTTGTGGGTTTTCTTGAACGAGGGGTGCCGTGTTGAGATTGAAGGAGAACTGAAGGTAATATGTGGGATTAACGTTGCCATTGACCCTACTTCCTGCATGGGTGATGGTGCACTTGCTATATAGTAGGCGTGCTTGAAGATTATCTTAATGTTTTACAGTATTATTTAAGATAACTGATGCAAACCCAATTAATAATTGAATGATACGAAATTTACGACAAATTAGATCAAATTCAAGAATGTTAAGAATCAATGTTTGAAAAGTAAGTTCGATCCAATAAATTATTGAATGAAAGAACCAAGACAATTGCAATAATATGTTGACCTCGTGATCACAAAATTTATAAACCTTACTTGAATTGTGAACGCCACAAGAATTTAATTTTTGATATGTTCATAATTATTTCGATGAAGAATGAATAGAAAATAATATGCCTTACAATAATATCTCTCAAATTGTATATTATTACAATTAATTGAATTGGTCATATTTATATAAAACCCATAAAACTTAATTAAAAACGAAATTAATAGTTTAAATATCAAGAATTATCATAAAATTAGAGTTTTAACTAAACTGAGATTTTTCCAAAAATTGGAAGATTCGTTGTCGAACTTGTGCTATGCGGCCGAATAGGTTGGAACATGCGGTCGCATAGTTCATAAAAATTCCTCCTTTGATTCTCGGTATAAAGGCGTGCAAGCATGCTTTGGTGTACTATGCAGTCGCATAGTTGGCATACTCAACTCCGTTGTCTCTTGCTTGAATCAAGTTGATACAACTTGTTCCTTATTCCATGCCCAATATGAAATTTGTCTTTTCGCTTGTTATGATCGAAGTTTCATCCACCGTAACTTAAACAAGTAATCACATAGCTTTTTTGAAATTATTTGCTCGTGACCTAGTCATTGGTCATTCCTCCACGATCAACGGATCCTTGTCCTCGCTAGCTCTCGTACCATGAATCTTATCAATAACTCAGAAAGTGATTCATTTCTGCAATTGAGTTTTGAGGTCGAGAACTCGAGATGCCTTTCGTGATTAAATTTCAAGAATTTGTTTATTTGTTTTAATTGCTTATTTTAATAGGTAATTAGATATAATTAAAAATTAACTTCTAACAATGAATTTTGTGTGTTTAAAATTAGAGCTAGTAGTTAATTAAAATTAACAAGTATAATCAATATTCGAGTAAACGGTTATCTACGTATCACTTTATAATTTGTTACTGTCCATTAACTTGTGGAATAAAATCAACAATAGAAATCAAAATTTGTAATGAAATATGGTCCAAGAAGAAGAGATAGCGAGGAGGTTGAAATGAACTAAGAAACGAATGTGAATTTTCTTTTATAAGAACTAGGTAGTGTTTGTTAAGATTTCCATGGGGATAAAGTCATAGACTGGACTCAAGAGATGATATCGTTGCTTGAAATTTATTTTTAAAAATAGGGTAAGCTTTAATTAGACAACTTATGTATGTAATATTTGACATGGTATGATTATGGGACGGACGAAAATTTCATTGCATTATCGTACTTCTAAGAAAAAATTGAAATAATAAGTTTCTCTCTCACCACATAAATAGAGATTCAGAATAAAGAGCGAAGTACAAACATACAAATCAAAAATGCAATATTCTTTCACAAAAAAATGGAGCAGCAATTGATCATACCACTTGCAAGAATGAAACTTGGTAAAAAAAATCTCTCTAAGAAATGTTTGGCTGTGCTCAAACATTACCTTTGTAGAGAGTAAGTTAAGCTTTTACTTTTTAAAAAGTATTTTGCTAATAAATATAAGTAACTTAAAAGTAACAACCTTCCACTTTTACTATATACAAATTACAAACTCATTGCACAGTCATGCCTTTACTATAATACACCATGCATTTTCACTCTATAAAATGTCTCTTCATAATCAACAAAAATACAGCATACGGTCAAACAAAATTTCCCTAGTTCTACTCTTGAAACTGTGGGGCACTTGAAACTCAGTTGATCTCGAGCTTCACATGATAATGACAATCTACAAGGCACTCTCGATGTAATGTTCATTCGTCGTCCATCAAACATGTTTGCTCTATGCTTAAAAGTTACTTTCTAGAAAAGTGAAATTTGTTAATAAAAAAGTAACTTCGAAAATGATAGAATAAGTTTGACTTACATTGCAGCGCAACCAAAGTTGGTGCTTTGTACATACCGAGGGACCACCATAGAGAATCGATATCCAGCCAAAGAATATAGGCTCGGAATCAAACACCAGTCCTTGTTTCCCATAATCACCCTCTGTTAGCTAAGAGCTCTCGTCAGGTAAAGTCCATGAAATCAGATGACCACTAGAATCCCCACTCAACAACTGTTTTAGGTCCCTCGGGATGTGTAGAGCAGTAATAGGAAATTTATGGGATTTTAACACCTTGTTTAGAATGAATACGTACTCGGGAACTTTACCTCCAAGTTCTAGCCACCCTGTAGGATCTGTATTTTCTTTGATTTCGATAGCCTGATCACACGAGCAGTGGACCATTTTCCAGACCTTGTTAGCTCCACTCTGATGACCCAAGACTTACCAGTTGGTTTCCAGCCAATCGGAGAAGGTATAACCTGCAAGAGAAAGAATGAGATCTGATGGAAGTTGTGATGTGTTTCACGATGGCAAGACAATCCCCATTAATGCTCCAAATGGATAGCATGACACCAGCTGCAGTCACAATTTCACCAGTCATGTCATTCATATATATTGCGGAAATAGGTGAAGGGAACTCAGGAAGCTGTCTAACAAAAGCCAAAGAGCTAAGATCCCACAATATCACGGTACAATCATCTGATCCGCTAACAATCATCATGTAAGGCTGGCAAACTTGAAGGCAAGTAATTTTCCCTGAGTGGGTGCAAAGAGCCTTTTCCAACTCCAACCGATTAATAATATCAGGTCCATCTTCGTTAATTCTCCAAACACAAATCAAACCATTGTCTGCCCCAGTGACCAGAATCTGACCATCATGGTTCGCACTGGCCCACTGGATTTGGTTCCCTCCATGAAGATTTTCAAGAGGAGAAAGAAGCCTATCTTGATCATAAGTTAAATCTCAAGCTACGGTCCCGAAAATCCCATGCAACACAATTGGTAAATTTTCTGGGTTTAAGCATATTATTTGCACCGGCCACAAGAATCTTGTCACTAAACGTCGCAATTTGAGATATTAAAGATGAGTTCTTGCATATCTCAAGAGGTAGAATATGCATAGAGTGTTTTAGCAGATGAGGAGGAAGCTTTCTTTCAGTTTTCCTTTTCACATGAGGCTTCAAGAGTAGTTGTTTTGGCGTTTGTCCAAAGTGATTAATTTGTGCCAGAATCGAGGATTTTGTTTCAGGATCTGTAATTGAGTCTATGTCAACACTACCTTCATATGTATAATGTTAGAAGACATTTACAGCTTCCTCAGCCGCCTGAAAAATGTAAAAATGTTTTGAATCAAAATTGGATACAGTCGGAATTAACCAAGAATGAATATAGAAGGAAATTGAAGCCTGAAGGCATGAGATCACAAGCGGAAAAATTTACCTTCCCTCTCTGTTTATATCCGAAGATGAGGTCTATCCAGTGATACAAATTCTGTGAAATATAGTCAGACTCCAAAGCTTCCTTATGCTTCTTAATGAACTCCCTAGCACTGCCCTTGTCCCATGGTGATGGAGGTAAAACATCACCACCAACCTGGCAAAAATCATAAGCTGTTAGGACATCTGGATCCGAAAACAAAAACAGAAGGCATAAGGTATAAATCATTGTGAAAAACCAGCTTCGGCTTCAAAGAATTTGGACAAACCTTCTCTCCTGATTGTTTCTGTCCTAAGTCAAGATCGAACCTGTTCAACAGAAATTCCGGCATAGAGAAGAACTCTGGAATTAGTTCTTTGACATCTGATGTCTTGCCTTTCCCATAAGCACTCAACCAGGCATCACGTATACGATTGAAAAAGACGGTCAGCATGGTCAAATTGTCCACCCTGCAGCTTCTGATTCTCGATGCTAAATGGAGGTAGACGTAAAAGGTAGAGAAGAATAATCCCAGCTCTAGAATAATGGGAACCATAATGAAATTTGGGAACCTCTGGATCATCCCACCTCGCATATCTGAGGTAGGAAGAAAATAACATGATCAGACCAAGAATATAAAAGATTAATAATCAAGAAGTTAAAGAGAAATATGAAGAAAAAAGCTAGTGAAAACAAGAAGCAAAGAGTAAATAAAACGTTCCAACCTCTTCATGAACTCCTCCTCCTCCTGATGTTTGACAAGCCATTGGCTTGTCAAACTTACGGAAAGATTTGGGATCTGATAAATTCAGATTCTCACTCTCATAATCTGCCAGGAACCAAGGAAATACTGGGTACTGAGTGAGATCACTGTACCCACAGCCTGCCAGAGTGCTGAGATGCATGAGGTACTGAAAATTGCTAATTTCTCCATTTTGCCACCTCTTGGAGAAGGATTTTGCCGTTATCTTGAAAAGGAGGCTGCCTTCATTGCTTTCCTTCCTTGTTGACCCAGATATTGTTGTATCTAAACTGTTAAGGCATATACAATCAGAAGAAAGAACTGCAAGAGATAAACAAGTACAAGTATGCCCAAAGATTAGGAATCAAACATGCCTCTGTCAATTGCTTGTACCTTCATATGATAAGAGCTCTTACCTATTCACACAAGTAAAATGACAGAATCGGATTCTAACAGCACGAGAAACGTATATATCAACTTTTTTGAGTGGGGGCATTGCAAAACAGGACAAGGTTTTGAGGACAATAATAGCAGATTTGCTTTTTCGACGAAATCAACAAAGCATGCAGTCACAGTTATGGAAAGCCAGACAACAACGAACCAACTTACATGCTGTTTCTAGGAAGATTCAGTGCCAGCAAATTTTTGAAAACTTCTTCTCTCTTTTTTTTTGTGAAAGACCAAGAGATCATTGCAACCATCCGTGCTGAAAATCTCGATGGCAACTGGGCGAAGTTGATAATCACGCTTCAGAAGCTCATGAACACTATCTAGCTTCCACATACGCCAAAGATGGGGCACATTACCACTAGAAATCAAATTCGTACCAGATGGGGTTTGATCAAGTATTCACTATTATCATTTAGTTCTTTGCTGTCCTCTGCCACTCGCACTTCATCAATTTTTAATAAAGAAGATAGCCTTGAAGATCCTATATCAGATTTTCCTTGTGTACTTCCTGGTACTTGAGTAGATGAATCACTGGACTTGACACCAGATTCAGCAGCTGAATATGGACTTTCTTCATTTACGCTACTATCCTGATCATTATTCCATCCAACCCCAGCAAAAGAAACATCTTGGGCATCTTCTGATTCTTAGGAAATTGACGATCATACAGTTGAACTTTCAAAGTTTCTGTTATCTTATCATTTAGAAGATTGGAAAGGGGATCAGAGTCATTATCTGAGGAACGGTGTTCATTTCCAGTTTTCTCCTTGGACGGTTCTCATTCCGTTAAGTCAAATTTCCCGTTCGGAACATTTTGCATGCTATCTATCTTTAATTTGCGTCGCTCAAGCTTTTTGCACATCCTTACTGGACCTTCAATGGGGCAAAGCTTCCACTCGGGCTGTTCTTCATCAGTGGAAGATTTACTGATTTTACATATTCCCCGTTCATGTACAAGTTGTAGATGAGTTTGCCACTCGCTTTCAGCATGAAGGACCCATCCATACTTGTCCTAGCGAATAACTCTTAATTCTGTTGTCATTGCATCACAAACCAATTCAAGTGCGATTCTACGCTCATTCACCTGCTCCCAATGTCTCTGCTATAATTTCAAGGTGTCCTGCAATTTTTGCCCCCATTTCTTTCTCACGGTGACTATCTATGCCTTTATCCTTGTTTCAGGAAACTTTGTTGACCCTGTAATGAACTTCACCCACGTAGTGGCAGCGCTCCGATCCAACACTTCATTTACCACAGCCATAGAATAATGAAGCCACTCGAAAAATTCAGATAAACTTCCGGTCAAGATGTTGGAATATTCCATCTCATCATCAAATCAGTTCGACAGCTTCTTCAGCTCACGTTCAGCATGTTCTTCCATCACGAGCTCACGCCTTCTTCCAGAGGCTTCCTCCTTCTGGCCTCTTCTAGATCCTTCTTCTTGTTAGTTTGTTAGATAGTTTGTTAGCTATATTTCTCTATAAATAGACTAGTATGTAATGTAATTTCTCAAGTTGATTGGATGAATATTCTTCTTCTTCCCTACAATTTCCAGCAGGCTCTATCCTTTCCATTTCCAGTTTCTATCATTTTATTTTCTTATCATGGTATCAAAGCGTGTGGTGCTCACCAATTTCAATTAAATTTTGTTGCGTATTCAAATCAGGATTTGAAAGTTTGCTCTGTTTTCATCAGATATTCAATTTTTCTGGTGATTTGTCCACCAAAGTGTTGAGTCGTGGAGCTGAAAAATCTGAGATTTAACTCTGTGGAAAACTCAATCAACATCAATGGAACATGTTGCACCTGACATTAATTTGGCTTGCTCGGAGCATTTCTCAAGCTACAGCTTTCTGGATGATGAACTCGTCTTCAAGGTGTTCGACAAAAGTCACTGGCGAGGCTTGGAGTTGCACTAGTGGTTTTACTTCCAGTCATTGCTGGAGTTTATTTAGCATTTCCAGTTCCTATTTCACTCATCAATAGTGATGAAGTTTTTCTTCAGCAAATCCCTGGCAGAGCCATGGATCCACATATGCCAAAGATGGGGCACATTTCTCTATAAATAGACTAGTATGTAATGTAAGTTCTCAAGTTGAATGAATGAATATTCTTCTTCTTCCTTGCAATTTCCAGCAGGCTCTATCCTTTCCATTTCCAGTTTCTATCATTTTATTTTCTTATCACAAGAGCTTATCAAATCATCCACGTATTACATCCAAAGATGGCCCATCCTTTGATTTAAAGACAAGAAAGTCTTCAAATACGGCCCTACGATGTCCCAACAGATACTTGAGAATATCAACAGCTGCTTTTTCTGTCTATGATCATGGAGAAGAGATATTAAATTTATACAAAGACAGCAATTGATAGCAATATCCAGATTACTGGGACAAAATATTATCCGCCTATGGTCAAATAGTAACTGTAAAACTGAAAAAATATCAGTCTCTCCATCCTCTGGCAATGTTTTAGAAGACTTTTTTTTTTTGTTCTGCTCATCATTCAAACCCAAGCATGAAAGAAGATCATCTTCTCCAATGGCGATCCAGGAAACAGAATAATATCATACGGTTCAAATTTTTAAAAGTGCATGTATATAAGTGTCAAATTGCCTGCTTCCTCTGCCAATAGAAAGGAGTCATTTACCAGTTGGAACAGCTACTTCAATCTGACCATCTTTGTTTGCTAACTGTAACATAGATAACAAGAATTCCAGAGTTTGCAACACAACAGCAGGCAGAGGAAAAGCTCCCGTATACACACGATCTGCTATCAATCAGCTCAGAGCATCGAAGTTCAAGGACCGGCGGCTCTTATCTAACCTTTTCTCATTTTCCTCATCATCACGCAAGAGACGCCTTTCAAGAAAGTTCATCAATCTAGTAAGGCATAAACCCTGAAAAATTAGAACAGATTCAGCATCGACATACAGAGGTACACTTTCCAAAATAGTCTCTACAGCTTTTGCAGCTTTTATCTGCTCAGTCACAAGATCAGAGGGAACTACTGCCATAAAATCTAAAACAGCAGAAGCTGCAGCAGAACATGGACCGCCTCCATAACCAGAATCATCCACTTCAAGGAGAAGCTTAGGACTAATTGAACAAAGTATGTTTAGATCCTGAGAACACATCTTCAAGTCAGAAGAGGAATTAATTTCATTCACAGAAGTAGAAAACTCCAAAGACGAATTTGAAGCTAACTGTCCTTTCGAACCATTGTGACTGGCATCCCCCACCCAAGACGTCAATGCTAAAACTGGGGAAGGGGTGAATGAGATCCTGGAATTAGATCTTTCTGATAAAATAGGGGATTCAATTGTAGCAAAAGATGGAGAACCCTGTGAATCAGCGTGGTGAATTTGATCGGGCGTGTTACTTGTATCATGGGAAGTAAATTTTTTACTTCCAGAAGTGGCATTGGACACATGGTCAACTGCTTCACCAGTAATAATCATCCCAGATTTTTCATCTTCTTTTACTGATTTGTCTAATTGCTGCTGGAATGTGGTGATAACCGTCTCTGATTTCTCACCAGCTACAATATTTGAGAAAGCAGGCACATCTTCAGAACTAGAAACATGATGACCCTGAGAGAAGCTCCCTGTACTGCTAGAGGTCATCGCTAACTGAACCTGATCCTGAGGGAAGTTAGAGAACATTTTCTGGAAGCTACTGGCCTCATGACCATCATTCAAATTCTTGTCTTCTTTTGTTACAGTGAGTTCTTTTGCTGTCCTCATAGCATGAGCAGCCCTAAATGATAATGAAAGGTTTAATTAACCAAAGATAAACAAGTGACGGCTATAAGTTATTTGATACATTTTACACATTGCATTATTTTTTATTTTATTTTATAACCGTGGATGTTCGGGCCAGTTTGAGCGCACCTCGACTAATCCCACAGGGTCCTGAAGTTTACGGTCAGGTACTCACCTCAGTGGCCTTGAGGAGACTCAAACAGGTGACCATTGGGGAGCAAACCCAAGGTCTGACCAATTGAGCAACCCCTCAAGGTTACACGTTGCATTATGAAACATAATAAATAGGCAGAGCCTAGGCAGTGGTGACGATTTGCATGTTATGGGTCTAAATTTTTTTTGTCTGCACAGAACTAAAATGCATGGAAAAGAGGGCATACAAATATCCCAAGACGCGGGAAGAAGAATAGATTCAAGTTTAATTTTGGTTATCAAACTTTGAGCAGCTATGCAGAAAAAACATATCACCAGATTGGTAACAGCATGATAATTAGGGCAGTAAACAGGATCCAACTCAACTTACAAGCTATTCAAGGCAGGCTCATAGTTGTTATGAGCTGAGCTTGAACCAAAAAATAAGCTTGTATACTTTCTGGACTTAGCACGATATCAGCTCATTTATTGAATCTACCCGATGTAGTGGGAATCAACCATCTTGATTGAGCTAAGCACAGATTCTTTTCAATACAACTCATTCAAGCTTGGCTCAGAAATAACCAAGTGTAGCTTAAGCAATTATGAAGGCTTGCTATGCTTTAAAGTCAGTCAAAGAGGCATTTCATAACAAGCCTATTACCCACTATTGTTGAGAATTTGCAAGAATGTTTAATTATGGCCCAATTCTACAGTCAGAAAAAGAGAAAGTAATAGTGTTTATTAAACGAACTTCAATTTATGTTCTGGATTATTGCTCTTCTCAGGGCTGTATATAAAGTGTGTAATCATGGGAATCACTAGCCCAACTCGGATGGCCAATTTATGAGATTAAATGCCAGCTTCAATGGAGAAACAGTAGGAAGATATAGGGCAAGTTAGATGGCCTAGAACTCAGCTTTTGCATTAGTGACATGTCCAATTGTATGCCTCTTGATGAGAAGTACCATTCAATAGAATAAACTTCTGAGCGAACTGAACTGGTAATGGGATTAAAGCCTTTCGGCATTATTATAAAACCGTCTTTTTTTTACTATGAGAGTATGCAAATCCACGAGCTTCTTTCCCCAACTGTATAAAAAACTTTGAAGTGCGAATTCTCAATAATAATAAATAAAATAAAAAATAATCTAATATCCAACCTAGAAACCCTTATTCAAGTCTTATAGTTTCAGTAACCTAATATTCCTAGAAAGTTAACATTGCTATCATAAGAATGTCATGGATCCCACTGCAAGGTATGGGACTTGAATCTCATATCGAAAGTATGAACTTTCAATGTGTGGATTTTATAGACTTGGAATTAATTAACAACAATAGGATATGGCAATCATTTCCATTATCTTTCTATGATTACAGATAAACTTAAAGCCTCTACTCCAAATTGAACTTAAAAGGCAGAAAGAAAAACAATTCCCAGTATAAACCGGTGACTTTCAAAATCTCTATCATATATAGGTAGACTAAATAATACAAATAATTAACAGGTAATTTTCCGTATAAATCGTACCATGAATGCAACAACTCATAGTCTTGGCTGGAAGGCGAGACTCTGTTGACATTGTTGTTGCTGTCTGATGGAGATGAAGAAGCTGGCGGAGCCAGTGAGAAACCAACTTTTTCCTTGAATTCTTTAAGCAGCGTTGTCCATTTCATCGTTTTTTCAACTAGATTTCTCAAACATATATTGGTTGAAATTTCAACTAAATATAATAAATATAGTACGTAAAATTTCTGAAGATTTTCCCATCCGACGACCAAAACGACACACCAGCGATCAGATCCAATTTCAAACCCGTCAAAATTCTTGTAGAAGAAACCCCCAGCTGATATTCCGCTTTCATTTCTCGATTTTCAGAAACAATTAAATTGCTAGAAATGCATAAATGGAAATAGGAATTCAGAGCAGCAAGATCTGTATATGCGATCATGCGTAATTCTGTATGTGAATAGATATATTATTCTAATTTTGCCAATTTCAGAAAAATAATATGATCTGGATAAGCTGCATTTAAATAATTTCGCAATTTCCTTGTTTGAATTATCGAGTCGTTGTTGTTATTGGATTTTGCCCAAGAAAATGGGAGTGAAGAAGAGAATGCAGAAACGATCGTTTTCTCTCTCCTGTTTTCGGATTGCATCTCCGCGCCATGTTCGCGCTCCACATTTAGGGTGTGTTTGTATCCAATTATTTGGAGAAAAAAAGAGTAATGAATAATATTTTTTGAAAAATTTATAGTTAAAATTTAAAATAATTTTATTGGTTTACGTGTAGGATATTTTATTGGATGAATGTGTAGTGGAGAATCTTCCTGTAGCAAACAATTTTGTGGAATAATGATAAACAAACGGGGGCTTAATTTTTCTTGAGTAATGTTATTCATCCCTAGTGGGAATGAAAACACAATTTATGTGATATTAAATGATAGGTTAAATGAAATGTGAAATTAAATGACTTATTTAATTTCACATATCATTTAATGTCACATTAACGTCATGTAGACTGTGTTTTCATTCTCAGTTGGGATGAATAGTATTACTCATTTTTCTCCGGCCAATAATAACGGAGGTTATGCAACTTTAAACAAAATTTCACTTTGGGCACTCAATTTTTAATTTTATTTCAAATACCTCACTTTCCATTGAGATGATTTTATTGGGAGGCAAAGAGTGAGTTCATTTGGATTGATTTTATTTTTCTTTATTTCAACTCATTACTAAAGCAAGGGTTTCATTCAAGTAAATTCTCAATTTTAAAACCATTCCTATTATTGCAATAGGTGAAATCCATACAGACTTGTTCTTCTATCCATGGTGGACAGGAGAACAATCTTCTCACCGCTGAGACGGTACATTTATTGTTTTTTGATTGTATATATTAATCCACCACGCCTTCACCCACTCCTTTATTGCATATAAATAATTTTCCTAAATTTTATATCAAATTTTGATATCATTACAGGATGTTAGATGAAGTCGAAACAATACATTTTTCATATTATTTCAAAGTCCTCGCGGCCTAGTTTTCCCACATCCTTAATGGTGCGCAAAACGGCCAATCTTAGTAAAAGTTACGATACATTAAAGTGAGTTGTTCCAAACTAGTATTTCGAAAATTTCGATAACATGTTAATTTTAAAAATTAGCTCACGATTGTACACTAATCGAATCTACAAATCTCCTATGTCGCCTTGAAGCTCGTTTCAAGAATTATATTATAGACATATCGAATAATCTAAACAAATATCTTTTGAATATCGAAAATAATTAAACAGGCGTCTCAAAAAGAGATGCATAACTCCATTTTTATTTAAAAATTTTCAATTATTTCATTAATGTTTATTTTTTTTTGCCCGACAATTTTTTTTAATATAAATTAAAAAAGAAAAAAATAATTCGATCTTGAACCTTATTCAATATTAATTTACTACATTTTGTGTGATGATTCGAAATTTTTTGAAGTCATACCCATGTAAAAATATCCTAATAAAATAATATAAATTATATTTAAAAAATCTCACGCAAAAAAAAATAAACATTAATGAAATAACTGAATTTTTTTAAGAATAGACGAGTTAGACATCTCTTTTTGAGTCGCTCGTTTAATTATTTTCGATGTTCGAGCGAAATTCGTTTGGACTATTCGATATATTACGATATAGTTCTCAAAACGAGTTTCAAGGTGACGTAGACAATTTGTGGTGTACAATCGTCAGCGAATTTTTAGAGTTAACATGATATCGAAATTCTCGAAATATTAGTTTGGAACAAACTACTTTAACGAATCGTAGTTTTTATTAAGATTGACCGTTTTGCGCACCGTTAGAGATGTGGGAAAACTAGGTCGTGGGGACTTTGAAATAATATTAAAAATGTAATGTTTCAATTTCATTTGACATTTTTTAATGATATCGAAATTTGACATAAAAATTAGAAAAATCATTTAAATGTGATAAAGGGGGTGGGTAAAAATGGCAAAAGTGGTGAGATGGGTACAGATGGAAAAGCAAATATATACAGTCAAAAAAAATAAATGCACTGCTGATGTGGCATTATTCTCCAGTCCACTATGAACAAGAGAACGGGTTAAAAGTCCATATATCTTTCTATATATAAAAAGTGTCTATTTAACGAAATTTGTTGGTTTAACGGAAAAACTAACGGAATTTGTTGTTTTAACGGATTATGTAACGGAATTTCTTGTTTTAAACAGCAGCTGCACCTTTTTTCAGTGTTTTTATCATAACTTTGTATTTCGATATTCGATTGAGGCGTTTCAAAATGCGTT